AAGATTTGTAATGCTCTGGTAAGCCAAAGTAGACAGGCCCTGAGATGCTGGCTCTGAGGTTTTGGGAGCTGGGGATGGAAGGAATGACAGGAGCCACAAGCCACTGTTTGAAGGGCTCATCGAGGCTGGAGAAGCACTGCAGGCTCTAAAGGAGCTTTGAGAGAGAGGGAGCGATGACCTGGGAAACTGCACTTGAGGCTCCGGGTGCTGTTTAAGGGGCTGCAAACACCAGAGCATGGCTGTCCCTCGCCCCTGCCTCACTGTCATCTCCCTGCCCTGTCGGAGTTTTGCTGCCTGGGCAACGGTAGATTCCAACAACAAAAGGAAAGACCATTTCCACTCTTACCTCACTTTACTCTGTCCTCTGCATGCTGAGGCCCTGCTTTCTCCATCTGGGGCAGGAGGGACACGTGGGATCCCTGGAATGAGACACTGGCCTCCTGAGATGCTATTCATTTTGTAACTGAAAAAAGTCAGAAAGGACAGAGACATGAGTTAATGCTCCCTTGATCTTTGGGTCAAGTGTCTTAGACACTGAGAACATAATCACCATTTCAATGTTGATGCTGTACATATAAACACAGACATTCTCTTTTTTCTTTTTAAAAAAATATTTTTTAATTACAGTTTGCATTCAATGTTATTTTGTATTAGTTTCAGGTGTACAGCATTGTGGTTAGACAGTCATATACTCCACAATGTGCCCCCCCTTTTGTACTGGGATATTTCCAGTACCCACCTGCCACCACACATAGTTATTACAATATTATTCATTGTATTCCCTATTTTGTACTTTACATCCCCATGGCTATTTTGTAACTACCAATCTGTACTTCTTAATCCCCTTACCTTTTTACCCAGCCACCAACTCCCGCCCCGCTAGCAACCATGAGTCTGTTCTCTGAACCTAGGAGTCTGTTTCTCTTGTGTTTGTTCATATTCCACATATAAGTGAAATCCTATGGTGCCGGTCTTTATTCTGACTGGCTTATTTCACTTTGAATAAGGCCCTCAGGTCCGCCCATGCTGTTGCAAACGGTATGATTTCATTTTTTATGGCTGAGTAATATTCCATTGTATATGTGTACTACCTCTTTATCCATTTATCTATTAATGAACACTTCAGTTGATGTAAATAATGCTGTAATAAACATAGGAGTGCATATATCTTTTTAAATTAGTGTTGTGGATTTCTTCAGATAAATATCCAGAAGTGGAATTGCTGGGTCACATGGTAGCTCTGTGTGTAATTTTTTGAGGAC